GCTTAAACTTGTAACCATCAGTTCACAAATTTCGGGATCATGATATGCCAACTTACAACATTTATACAATGCAAAAGCATCATCCATTACCCACCCATTTACCCTGTGAACTAACCATATAGTAAAAGTATAACCACATACATTACACATATTACACTTATGGAAAATATACCTTCAGATGGTTCTTGCTCAGTTTGGAGGTTCTTAGAATTGAGCTTGTGGTGATTGCTTATATCCTGAAATCAACCGATACACGGATTAAAAGATTAGTAGACGAAATGTAAAAGTATAACCACATACATTACACATATTACACTTATGGAAAATACCTTCAGATAGAAATAGAGCTACGATACGAGCTCTATGTCTCACATGTTTTCCGCTCCTAGAACACCACAACAAAATGGTGTTGTTGAACGAAAAAATCGCACCATACAAGAGATGGCACGCACTATGTTAAATTCATTTGATTTGCCAAAATATTTTTAGGCCGAAGCCGTCAATACGGCTTGCCATGTTTTAAATCGTATTTTGATTAGACCAAAGCTTAAGAAAAATCCTTATGAAATTTTTTTATGGAAAAACTCCTTTTATTGGTTATTTTCGTATCTTTGGTTGCAAATGTTTTATTTTAAATACAAAAGATCATCATGATAAATTTGATTCCAAAATTGATGTTGGTATTTTCTTAGGTTATGCACCTTGAAGTAAGGCTTATAGGGTCTTCAATAAACGAAGTCTCGTTGTTGAAGAATCTATAAACGTTACTTTTGATGAGACTAATGTTGGTTCTCAAGTTGTTGTACCTAGGAAAGATGATGATGATGATGTTGAGGGAGGATTGGACTTTTTACAAATCAATGATACTCCCTCTATAGAAGCTCAAAAGGATGTGGATTTCGTTTAATGGAAGGGGTTCTACGCTTGCCTTCAATCACCGCAATATCGCGCGGGCTAAGCAAAAAGTCGTCATCATCCGGTTCAATTGACTCGCCGACAACATCGTCATTAGCACCATCTCCACCATCATCATCTTCACCATCATCTTTATTTACATTCATTCTATCTACATCTCCTTCATCCTCATCCACATCACCACCATCCCCCTCATCTCCTACTCCACCATCACTTTCACCTTCACCTTCGCCTACATCTCTATCATCCTCCTCATTCCTGCCATCCTCATCGCCGCCATCACTATCATCTTCATCATCCTCGTCATCCTCATCTCCGATATCACTATCTACATCCTCTTGCCTTCCACCGAATATTTCCCTCTTCATCTTCAAGAGAAGGTTTAATTCAACTTTCTTTTCATGGATGAGCCGATCCAAATCAGCTTCAGTGATTGACTACATGTAAACAACCCAAGCACAGTTACATTCATGAATAAAACCAACGAAAGCATAGATAATTCACCAACATCAAATAATAAGTTCTATTTTAGCAAAAAGCACATTAAATTACTATTTGAACCCACATAATAATTGGAAAAGTAACATTACATACAAATAAACCATTATACCTTTCCCTTGAATTTTGAAGAGGTAGCTTCTTTAGTGGAAGTGGCGGCTTCAGCAATCCTCTTTTGAAATTGTAGAGACCTCGAGCCCTTATGATATTGGCCAAAATTATCCGGGTCTCTAATTAAATTGTGCAATGCATTCCTCCGTAAAGGTTTTGGACACTTGTAGAAGCTTAGGATGGGTGGTAGGGATTCAGCTCCTACACGAAGGCTTAGCTTTCCGACAAGCTCATAAAACCATATCTGTGAACATTTGATAATTTTAGTACAACAGTAAATATGACTAAATGAACTAAATATATAAAATGAAAAATGACATAAATATAGAAAATGTTAACTTACCACCAAAACCGATGCAAAGCCCCCTATATAACCACCTCTACTTCGATTTCCCTCCGACCTCTTGGTGATGGTCTTTTTAGCCTTAACCATCTCAGTCCTTAACACACTGAACACTGCTTCAGCCCAATTGTACTCATTAAGAGTGTCCAATTTCTCCGCATATCTAAATGCAAATAAAGGGCAACCCATATTAGCTTGAGGGCATAATATAAAGCCTATGATGAAAGCCACGAGCATCTGTGGCACAAGAGGATCTCTACGCTCAGCCATCTCCTGAATAAGTTCACCCATCCTACCCCTTCTAGCACAAACAATCTTCTTCTTTTCCTCGTTACTTTTCTTCTTTCCTCTCCTAGTCCTACACTTGCTATCCTCCACGATTTCTGTCTTCGACCTAAACGATAGCACGAGCTTGTAGATTGTCTCGCGATCGCTTCTATGGAACCTCGTGTCTACAATAGATCCTCCCATCGGAAGACCCGTAATTCTTGCAACATCTTGAACACTAAAAGAGGTCCATTTTCCTCCAATCTTGAAGCTATTTTTTTCAGCATCAAAGACTTCCAGCAAGCAATCCACTAGAACAGGGTGAATTGGAACATTAGCAACATCCAAATACCCAACGAAAGGTGTATCTCGAAGGGCTGTCCGATGATCCTCCAATGATGTAGAAGAAATATAATTTTGGAGGAGGTCTCGAAAGTAGCTAATATTTGATGGAATTCTAACCACATCCATCTTGTGCTTTTCTGCAACCAAAAAAAATTAAGCCAACGTTAGTATCATATCAATATTATACTTTTTTGAAAATGGATGCATAGTGAATATCCATTCTATCCCCGGTGAATATTTCTGTGATGTATGCCGTATGCTCATTATACCAAACGAGGCTTTACAAGCACAATGCGCACATTTATACTGTAAACGGTGCCTGTCCTTATATAGATGGATGAAGAATTGTATTGTGCATTGACGGATTTTAGAGGAAATAATCACTTCTTAAAATTAAATGTCAACGGGAGTTACAATGATTTGGCGGTTGCGGTGCAAAGTCTAATTGCTTGTAATGCAAGCATGATGAAGTTGACTTACAAAGTACCCCACACACAAGAAATGTATGTGCGTGTATGTGATGATGATGATGTATTGATAATGTTCAATATACATCGATGTTGCAAGGAGAATGTAGTTGTCATGAATGCTGACATGGATCGAGAGATATTATTTGGGCAACAATGTAATACTGTCCATATAAGGTAATTTACGCATTTGATATACATTAATACTTTTACCATCAATTTTAAAGTTATGGATTTCTTTAAACTCTTGTACAATTTTTTATGCAGGAATCCGTACATCCCTTCTAGTGAAGAACATGTATCTTATTCACAAAATCCTTCTTCTTCACAAAATATGTCTCGGGAAGTTGGGAGCTCTAGTATGATTCCTCTTGCATGGCACAATGCAATTAGAAGTGTTGGTCAAGAATTTGATGATGTTGAGCATTGTCGGCGGAGTTTAAGTAATTACTCTATTGCACGAGGGTTTAACTTTGCTTTTGTAAAAAATGAACGTAGAAGAGTGACAGTAAAATGCAAGGCCGTAAACTGTGCTTGGATGGTTCATTGCACCCGCCGTAGAGATAGTGATAAATTCTATGTAAAAAAAAAATTTGTGGTACTCATAGTTGTTTGGGAGGAGGCATAGGAAAGGAAGGATATAGCCGGGCATCTCGCAAGTGGAATGCTAATCATCTCAAATCCATCTTAAAGGAACAACCCACTTATCGTCCTATTGATTTTCAGAAGAAGCTTAAAGCAGAATTTGGATTGGACATCCCTTATCATAGGATTTGGTGGGGAAAAGAGCTAGCTCAACGTGAATTGTATGGTGATACTAAATATTCATATGACCAACTCCGATGGTATAAAGATAAAGTTATGGAAACTAATCCGGGATCAATTGTTCACTTAGAGCATGAAGATGGAAGATTTACAAGAGTTTTCGTATCTTATTATGCTTGTTGGAAGGGGTTTATGGAGGGATGCAGGCCAATGTTGTTCTTGGATGGTACTCATCTTTTTGATAGGTATGGTAGAGTTCAATCTAATCAAAACTTGCATTAATGTACTACTCTTCATAAATTTATTATACTTTCATTCATAATTGCTACCATACCGGTTGTATTATAGGTATAAAGGAACCTTACTCGCCGCAACTGCGCTAAATGGAGATGGGGGAATGTTTCCCGTAGCAATTTGCATATGCGGGACGGAGAATGAAAGTAATTGGGAATGGTTTTTGGAATGCATTCGAGACATTCTCTTCAACGATGAAGATCCGTACACTCCAGATGATGAGCTGGTTTTAATCTCCGATAGGGACAAAGGGCTTCAGAATTCCGTTAAGAAATCCTTTCCATGGTCGCATCACTCTTATTGTATCCGTCCATCACTCTTATTGTATTCGTCATCTTTTGGCTAATTTTAAGAATAACTTGTCAAAGAAAGGCATTGTACCACCTTTACGAGATGAATGTGTGCAAATTATGAAGAGGGCTGCTTATGCATACACTACTCGTTCCTATAACAATGATTGCAACGAGCTACGGAACAAATCTGAGATCGCCTATAATGAATTGTTGCGGATGAGTCCAGAAAATTGGGCTAATAGCTATTTTCCTGGGAAGAGGTTAATATGAAAGTTTACTTACAATTTTAAATGCAAATCATTTAGTTATATGTACATCTCTACTTACCATTTATTGACATGCATGTAGATATGGATGGTTGACATCAAACCTAGCGGAGTCATTCAATGCTTGGATCAAAGAAGCTCGTTATTTGCCAATTACCCAAACACTTGATAATATTCGTAAGAAAATGATGAGGATGGGTTTCGAAAGGCGGGAGGCATCCCACAAGTGGACCACAATATTTGTTCCTACTGTGGAAGAGCACCTCATTCAAATCAATGAGCAATCACGTTGTCTTTTTGCTATTCCTTCTACTACGGGAAGGTATGAGGTCTATGATTTCCCTACCGTTGAAGTAGATTTGAATGAGCGTACATGCACTTGTCGTGAATGGCAAGTTGTTGGGCTACCTTGCAAACATGCTCGTACTCGACCTCCTCGTTGATCGGTATGACGATCTTTGGTTGCGACACTACAGCTTTTGCAGAAAAGCTGTCGGCTCCCACTGTGGTCGCCAGTTTGTTTGTGTCAAAAGTTGCCTTTTCCATTGCTTTCAAACCTGTTTTACCGTTTATCGATTACAAGTTCAAACTGAAAAGAGAGTTGATCTTTTTATAAGATCTTCTCACAACGAAAAAATAAAGATTACAACTTTATCAAACAAAACGCAAATGTAGTAGATGTCAACAGTATGGTCACAACCGTAGAACATGTAGACAACCTATTGCAGACTAGTTGCAGACTAGATATATTGTAAAAATGCATGACTTTTGTGTGTTATAGTTTTGTGTAAGTGGCATACTTTTGAATCAATGTAAGACATGTTTTTAGCATAATTTGGTATGTGTTTGTTATGTGTTTGTATGATCGAGAGTTATGTGATACTTTTGGATCAATAGAAGGCATGTTTTGCTCTGAATTTTGGATGCAAGATATATGTTTGTGGCTTGGTTTGTCATCAGTCTATCTCGCTACACTTTCATTCTATCACTATACACTTTCAGCATAACACGCTACACTTACATGATAACACGCTACACTTACAGGATAACCCGCTACACTTGCAGTGTAACCCGCTACACTTGCAGTGTAACCCGCTACACTTACAGACTAACCCGCTACACTTACAGGATAACCCGCTCCACTTACAGGATAACACGCTATACTTACAGGATAACCCGCTACACTTGCAGTATAACCCGCTACACTTACAGCATAACACGCTACACTTACAGCATAACACGCTACACTTACAGCATAACACGCTACACTTACAGCATAACACGCTACACTTACAGCATAACACGCTACACTTACAGCATAACACGCTACACTTACAGCATAACACGCTACACTTACAGTCTAACCCGCTACACTTACAGGATAACCCGCTACACTTACAGCATAACACGCTACACTTACAGCATAACACGCTACACTTACAGCATAACACGCTACACTTACAGCATAACACTTATAGGATAACCCGCTACACTTACAGGATAATCCGCTACACTTGTAATGTAACCCGCTACACTTACACTACAAGATAACCCGCTACACTTACAGTGTAACCCGCTACACTTACAGGATAAACCCGCTACACTTGTAATACAACCCGCTACACTTACAGGCTAACCCGCTACACTTACAGGATAACCCGCTACACTTGCAATGTAACACGCTACACTTACAGTGTAACACGCTACACTTACAGGATAACCCGCTATACTTACAGGATAATCCACTACACTTTCAATCACAAACATAGATATGTTATAAAACATCCTCTACACTTAACACGCTACATTTTCAATCACAAACACTACACTTTCAATCACAAACATAGATATGTTACAAAACATCCTCTACACTTAACACACTACATTTTCAATCACAAACACAGTCACAAGCTGAAATATGCTACAAACTCACCACTACATTCACAGTCACAATTTGAGATATGTAACAAATTTTAACAATGACCAATTTGAGATACATTCACAGTCACAACTAATTGCACAAATTGAGATATGTTATAAAACATCCTCACATATATGTTACAAAACATCCTCACACGCATTTCAGATACATTCACAGTCACAAACTTAGTCAAAAGCTGAGAAATGTTACAAAACATACTCACACATATTTCAGATACACATATTACAGAACAATTTTAACTTAAATCTAGTTTTCCCTCTTCTTTATTGTTTTTCCTTTTCTAGCTGGCTCATTACTCGTCTCGGAGGCTCAACGGCTTAAACAAGCATCATTAGGAATAATTTTAAGTATATAAACAACTCTCAACATGCAAAGAATAATAAAGAATGTAATAGATAGTTGCAAACTTGGGTTAAAGGCTTTGTTTTTGTTTGCTATAATGGCTAATTCCTACAAAGCTTCCTGCTCTCTGATTCTCCAAAGCAAAAACCACCAAAGATTCACCATCAAGACTGCCAAAAGAGGTTATTCATCCTCATAGTTTCCAACCCGTTCAACAGCTCACCAATCTTCGAAGGATCAGTAAGCTTCGAAGGGCCAAATTCAACATTGAAATTGCCCAAGGGCCTTAAAATAATAGTAGACGAAATATAAAAGTATAGATGTCATCTGATGATTTACAACAATCAACAGGAAAAAAAGGATAGATGGCATCTAGCATCCAAGGAAGTGAGCTTGCGGTGATTGTTTATATCCTGAAATCAACCGATACAAGGATTAAAAGAATAGTAGACGGAATGTAAAAGTATAACCGCATACATTAAACATATTACAATTATGAAAAATATACCTTCAGATAGAAATAGAGCTACGATACGAGCTCTATGTCTTGCACAATCCTTTTGATCTATTGAAATTGCTTGACCGGATACGAGGCTAAACATATATGACATCAAGAACACCCCGCAATCTAGGCTACTGCAAGTACAAAAATAGGAAGTACAACTATAAAAAATTTCATGGAACCGCAATATATAAATTCTATGTATCGGCAAATACAGCAAAAACAACATAGGAATAGGTTGAATACACTCACCCACGTTGTTG